TTTCCAAAGAAGCTGTTTCAGGAAGAATAAGAATAAGAAGAGAAGAGCAGAAATACCAGCTGAGAGTCAGTGAAATTTCATTAGTGGAAAATTCAAGAAGTGGAAAATGAAGTACAGAAAACAAAGATCTTGTGAAACCCAGATTTCCCTTCATGATAAGAAAGGTCACGACAGCTGGCTGACTGCACGTACTGCAGAAGGAGGTCTAGCGAGAAAAGGCAAGTTGCCAGCCCAAGACAGATGTTCTCAAAGGAGAATAATTTTTCAAAGCCAGCGAATGTCCAGCCAACTTCAGGAAGACCATAACAACAGAAACTTTCAAAGGGAAATTCACTAATCCAAGATCAGTCTTCTGGTCCCCCTTCTGAAACCAGTGAAAGCCTCTATTTTATTGATACTGCACCCACCTGGAATTTCTTATGCTTGTCTTAATGGATAGATCTGTTAAAGTGAACCTGTGTCTGTCAGTGGTCCTACCGCTGATCCTAGGAGGCCATTTCAGGTATCTGAAATAGAATCTTTTTATTATCTACATCTTGGTATAGCTTCATCAGTAAATCTTACCAGGGAAACTCGCCAAGATCTCACATGTATTCATTCATTCCACAAACATTTATTAAATGTCTTTCATGAGCCAGGGATTTTATAAATGTTAGAAATACAGCAGAGAACAAGACAAAAATCTTGTCCTTGCAGTGCTTACATTCTAACACAGAAAACAGGTGGTTAATAAAGAAATTGATAATATAATGCCAGACAGGGATACAAGCTATAAGGGACAACTAAGCAGAGTGAAGGTGTGCGTATGTGTCGAGATTTATTGGTTTTTTGGCATATGAATATCCAATTTGTCCAGCACCATTTGTTGAATTGCCTTTGTGTCTTTGAAAAAAGTCAGTTGACTATAATTGTGTGGGTTTATGTCTGAGCTTTCCATTTTGTTCCATTGATCTATCCTTTCACCAATACCACACTGTTCTGATCCATATATCTATAGAGTAAGTCTTGATATCAGGTCATGTGAGTCTTCCCACTTTTTGTTTTTCAAGAAAAAGAAAAATTCCTTTTCTGCCTATTCTGGATTCCTTGAATTTTTGTGTGGATTTTAAGATCAGCTTATTGATTTCTGCAAAAGAGTCAGCTGGGATTTTGATAGAAATTGTCGAGTCTGTAGATCAATTTGGGGAGTATTGCTATCTTAACAGTATCAAGTCTTCAAATCCATAAACATGAGTTGCTTTTTCACTGATTTAGTTATTTAATTTCTTTCAACAATACTTTGTAGTTTGCAGAGTGTAAGTTTTGCATTTTTTTGATTCAATTTTTCCCTCCATACAGCCACTCTCGTTATTTATAGCAGTTGTGTCCTATAAAGTTGCTGCAAATATTGAATTAGCCAATACTGAAATCCTGCTTCTAAGGGAAACGTGGACAAGGTTAGATTCTTGCGAGTCTCTGGTCATAGTTATGTTAGTCAAAATGCCATTTGCGTGTATAGGTTTGTTTGCCAGTGTCCTTGTAAAACAAGCCAATCTCAGCAGCTTTGAAAACCTGCTCTTCCACATAACCTTTTTCCTATATAACACTGAGGAGAAATTTTAAAATTCTTCCATAGCCAACCCTCCAGCCCAGGCAAGTGAGGTTAAGGCTTATACTCTAATTCCAGCCCTCATCATAACCAGCTGTAACTTTGGGGAAGTCAAGTAGAATCCCCACTCTCAAACTCTAAAAAAAAATTAGGCCGTGGATGAGAATATCCCCACAGTTCCACTCATTCTAGAGTTCCATAATTAAAAAAAAAAAAAAGTCAGGGGGAGGGTGTGGTTGTTTAGAAATTTTAAAAGCCCACAGCACCACCTGGTGGTCAAAGGGGAGAGGATGGCTGAGGAAAAGGGTTAATACACATGTCCAGCCACATCTGTATTTTGCTTGTTTGAATAAAATTTCACATTTCAGACAATTTCTCCTCTAAAATGGCTACATGCAAGTGTGCTACTACCTATAAAAGCAATCCTACAGGTCATTATGTTTAAAATCACACCATGCATAGCATGCCTTGTAAATATAAAGACTCTAACCCTTGAATAGCCATCATTACTCAGCTATTACACTTTGGTTAAAAAACAGCAGTAACAACAACAACTACTACTACTACTACTACTACTACTACTACTACTACTACTACTACTACTATCGAGCAAGTAGAACAATTACACAAAATAAAAATATACTTCATTATACCAAAAATTTCATCCTACTAAATTATTCACTTGTATTTGAGTAAGAAAGTGATCATATTCAATTATAATCATCCCAAATGAAATAAATATCTGAGTCCATACTTATATAAACACATAGGTAAATGAATGAATGGATAAAATGGTTAAGGAAAATGTCCAACAAGCGCATGAAAAGATGCTTGACGTGACTACTTGTTAGAGAAATGCAAATCAAGACTACAATGAGGTATCACCTCACACCAGTCAGAATGACCATCATTAAGTCCACAAATGATAAATGCTGGAGAAGGTGTGGAGAAAATGGAACCCTCCTACACTGCTGGTGGGAATGTAAATTGGTGCAGCCACTGTGGAAGACAGTATGGAGGTTCCTGAAAAAACTAAAAATAAACTTACCATATGATCCAGCAATCCCACTCCTGAGCATATATCTGGAGGAAAATATAATACAAAAAGACACATGCACCCCAATGTTTATAGCAGCACTATTTACAATAGCCAAGACATAGAAACAGCCCAAATGTCTATCAACAGATGACTGGATAAAGAAGATGTGGTGTGTATACATACATACATACATACACACACACACACACACACACACACACACACACACACACACACAACAAAGAATACTACTCAGTACAAATAAAAAGAAATAAAATAATGCCATGTGCAGACAACATGGATGGAGA